GTATCTCCGTTACTGCCTCTTACGGTGGACCTGAAATAATCGTCATGGCTAGAAAACACACCAGAAGAATCTATTTCTGTGAATACCGATCTTAAAGCGTCATTTCGCATTTTGTTAAATGCACGGTTGTTCAAACACTGGTTAGTTTGCCTCCCCTATTATTAAGGCTTCCTTTTTGCCAATCAGCAGTGCCACTTTGCTCATATCCAGGCCACGGTTAACCTATGCGGTGTACTTTCCACCATTGCTTATGATGACAACATGTAGCCGGTTTTAATAAAGCATTCGGGGAAGTTATGGTGTGTAACGATTGTTTGTCTATTACTATCCTACCAGCACGGCATATAACCTTTCTCTTTCACTTAAATCAAAACCGGCCATAATTCGAGTTGTGTGTTCATCCTGTAAAGAGTGTTTACGGTTTTAGCGGGGAACTATTGACAGTCAGAAATATGACCCCTACACTGAAATTAAATCTTATTACTCTGGTGCTTAAAAGTATCATTCGGGAATCGGTTCTTTTCTCGTACTAGGAAATCAGTATAGATGTGCTCTCATGCGGGAGGTGATCTGATTAGGAATACACGTATGCCATTTTGTTGGGGAATGAAGATCCATGTAAGTTGCAAGTTTCGTGTGTGGTTTACGTGTTGGTTTAGCATACGGTCAGCACACTCAAGGCTCCAAATTCCCCCACAGAATTGGATTGACCCAGATCCTAACCTCATCCTAAATGGGAAAGTATGAGAGGAAATTTATTTTTTTGCAACTACGTCTCACCCGGTGAACGAATCTTGGATGAGGTGTCGGCATGAATGCGGAAGGCACGATTGGCGTTGGCAACTTGAGAAATTTATGGCACCACCATCGTTTTGGGCTGTCCGTCAAAGGTCAAGCGTATGTTTCAGCTAGTGTTGTTAACCGTAGCGAGAAAAAAAGGAATAAACACAGAAAATCGATTTCCGAAGATCTCTGTCCACGCCGATTTGCCCGATTCTTGTAGATTAACGAAACAAGCAATAATAAGGTTGGATAAGGAGTTTTAGGTAACTCCGGTCGAGCAATAGAACAAGTGCTTAGCCTCCATAGATCAAGATAACTTGGAAAAGGTGCTACGCAGCTTACTGGATAGGCTTGTACCGTATGAGTTTTGCCGAGGAAGGTAATTGATGAAAGAAGGTCATTGGTGATCAGAACAAAACTTGGCAGGAGATTATGGAAACCATGACTATTGACTTAGACATATAGGATGCATCAGCGTTCCTTGTTTGAAACGCCATGACCGACTTAACCGATCGTTCGAGATATTGAGTGATAGAGTTGAGTACATAATAGGCAGTGGTGGTCGCCAATCTACTCTGTTTCTTCATCAATTCAGTTTGACTGCATTTCATGCATTTATCGTTGTACCGCTCCTAGCTTTCTACTTCCTCCACTCTATTCACCAAGGTAATCAAAAACGGCAATCAAAACCACCGCAGGAAAGTGCAGGGTCAATGGTTGCTTGAACCGAACAGTGCCTAAACAATACTACAGTAATAGTAGCAGTTAGTTAAGATTATTTTTTTCGCTTGATCCCGCATATTTGTTTACAGCCCGCGTGGTATCGAGACTTTTGGTCACGGGGTGCGTGATGGGCTGAAAGCGAAAATGCGGGTCACCATAAAGACCATTCATTGTGTGTATACGTACAACTGCGTCATTCAGATTGATTTCGGAGCACCATGAACGGGACATGGATCGGATCAGACTGATCGTTACGATAACCAGTGAAGTGCATGGCTACCATTATAAGCGTCGATTTATCCTCGATCTGTGCTCTCTGCAGCTGAATAAAGGCTCCTGATTGGAAAATTGTGACAACGGGGTAGATTTAAGTGGGTCTCCCATTAAAAGATCACTGGTGGAAGAAAATGATGTTCTTTCAAGGGTGTTAACTGGAGTGATTGAATGAGAAATACTTTCATCGATCTTCCCACTTTAATGGACATTTATGGTGGCGATAAAAAATAAGACTGAGTTGGATGACATATTAACATCACGTTACGAATTGAAAACCCTCATCTTTGCAATATCTCTAATGTACATCGAAAACAGGATGACCTCATCACGTTCTGACAAAGGAACTATGGTCTCTGTGCTCTGTCTATATTGGTATCTGATAGAGAGAATACCGCTTCATTTTACCAGTCTGACAGAGGTGATGGGGATCAGGAGGATATAAATTATGGCACTGAGGCTACCAGTCAAATCCGGAAGTGAGTGAAATTAGTGGTGTAACATGATGGGAACGATAAAAGTCAGGCTAGTATCCTCCACCTTCTGTCTGTTATAGCGAAAAATTCATGCTCGCCAAGCCACTCTTCGTGGGCTCTTTTATGTTGCAGTAACTGACAAGCAAACGCTTATTCCCAAATAACACTGCAGATTCTACTTAGTTAACCAGGATGGGGATTATTTTCCAGTTCGAATAACGTTTGACATGGTTAATCCAAATTTATGAAAAAAGCCTATGAAATCTAGTTCTGTCATTGCATATTCAATTTGTCACTTAGTGCGGAAAAGCTTTGGGAGCATTGCGCATTTGTGGTTTCTGCGTTGATTGTGCAAAAATAAATTGTGGTTTTACAATATCTTTAGTACGGTAACTAGTCACGCAATCAGCTTACTGTACTGACAAAGAAGCAATAATTCGTCACGTTGAGTAGGAAATATGAAGGTAGATTTGGAAGTAATTGAATAAGCGTTGGATTGCGTCAGGTCTACTGATGGAGGAAAAATTAACTATGGACCGGATAAAATGAAAAGAAACACTACATGCATGTAAGCGCCACTAGAGAAAGAGGATCTCAGGAAGTTCGTTTCCGTTAATGATGCATTCAAGCACGTGTTCATTTGGATTCATTCCGATCAAGATTTCGTCTTCATTTGTGATTCGAGAGAATTCTACGTGGTTAACTCTTCTCAGGATCTAAAACAAAACCTAAATATGAACGGTAAAATCATTCCACTTCTTTCATAGAGTAAAAGCTGTAAATGTCAGCTGTTGCCGGGAGTAATGACGCGAGTTTAGTTCTGTCACATAATGCGTCATGTTTGCTGTGACGATCAATCGACCCGACTAATTTGACAAAACACCAGTTATTTTACTCCGTTCCAAGTGATAATCGGAAACGTCACTCACAAATACAGGGAGGTGAGAGAACTTCATCATTTACCCATAATGAAAGAACTGTTTCTGTTGCCTACACAATATATAGGTTAAATAGATATAAAACAGACTAGATAGATTTGATGTTAAATTTTGCGACTACCGCACTACTGCGGGAACAACACCCCTTTCGAAATAACCGCACGTAATAAAGAGAACGAAAAAGACTGATCACATCGGGAAACCGAAACAAAGTCAGTGTTATGCATCATTGGTGTGCTATATTAGTGTACGGATTATACCGACTCACAACTTTACTGGAAGTGTCTAACCTTATGTACACAGTACTTGGAAATTTCTCGGATCTATTCATATATCTTGAATTATGTTCAATTTATTTTTTAAGACAGTTTACGCTAGTTCAGTCATCGCTATCGGGAATTCATTTGTTTCTGAACATTTCTAATTT